TGATACAATTCCTCACCACCCACCCGTTTTCAGTGATGGAAACGGTGCAGCGGACTGCCCGTTGCTTGGGGTGCGAGTTGTCTGCTTTGCCCTTGGTGGGGGCAAAAAGCTGCTGCCATAGCCAGCTGTAACCAGAAAGGGTCAGAGCAGAATCCATCCGTCCGTAATAGCTTCTGCTTAACACACACCCCCCGAGACCTTAAACAGGGAAGGAGAATAAGAAGCGACATTTCAGTCCTCACAAGGGCTTTGGATGGACAGTATTGTGCACACTCTTGATTTTCTGCTCTAAAGCCTTTATGCATGACTCCTGATCAGGGGAAAGGAATTTGCTGGTAAAATTTGAAGCTACTTTCCTCGTAAGGCTGTTTCTGAAACTTTGAGCATGCATCTTATCTACTGCCTGCTGTTATACGGAGTTCATGGGTTCTTCCTGTTGTTCGTTTTTAATAATGGGTCTATCGAAGGTCAGCTTGGTATGGGTAAGTAAAAGTACTTTTTGAAGTAGGTGTTTGAATGAGATTTCTGCCTGTCACTGGTATGTAAGTACACTGCTCCTATTTGTTGAGGATAAATGTGACTTAATTGAGCTTTGCCCTCTAACATCAAAAAGGTACTGTTCCCCCCGAGAAATGAAGCACACCAGCCTTTTCTTGACGTGCTACAAGACTCTGAAGCACATGAGCTGGTAGCAAAGGCTCATCAGATGACATAATTACTCTGGCTTGTAGATATAGCACCTCTCCTATGACGAAAGGCTGCGAGAACTGGGCTTGTTCAGCCTGGAGAAGAGGAGGCTCCGAGGAGACCTCTTTCTCCTCCAAGGAGAAATTCTTCCCGGAGAGGGTGGTGAGGCACTGGAACAGGTTGCCCAGCGAAGCTGTGGATGCCCCATCCCTGGATGTCTTCAAGGCCAGGCTGGATGTGGCTTTGAGCAACCTGGTCTAGTGGAAGGTGTCCCTGCCCATGGCAGGGGGGTTGGAACTAGATGATCTTTAAGGTCCCTTCCAACCCTAACCATTCTATGATTCTATGGAAACAGGCCAACCTTTCAGATAGAAAAATCATTGCATAGAGGCACAGAGGTTGACAGTCATGAATTGTACCTGGCAGGTAATGTAGAAGCTGCAATCTCGTGGTGGAACCAACTGAATCCTCCTCTCCAGAGTCAGCACTGATGAGGTGGTGATTGTCTGTCTACAAATCACAAAGCTACTTTGTGTCAGGCTCCACACCCGTGAGAAATGCTAAACGTGCAATATTGATAGCAAACTTTAGTATTGGCTGCCAAGGAAAACTGAGCTAACACTGCAAAAGCTGAAATGGTAAAGGAGTGTGGTTTTTCATTATGCCTGCTTTGGAGGGATAGATGTGGTTCAAACTGTGTGACCTTCTGGTAGGATAAGAACCTCCTCTGCTCTTTGTTACAAGCCAGATACTTCCATGCTGTGACCCCTATGCCACTAATGGTGTGGGAACTGTGCCAAAGCGGTGTGCATCTGCCAGGCAGCAGGAGCAGCTCTTGTACAAGCTCTTCACGAAGCCCTGGGGTGCATCTCTTTCTTAGCTCCCTCTCCTTGCCTCCTAAAGAGGTACATTTGGAAGCAGCTGCTCCTGCTGCAGTTGGAGAGGGGACAGCATCTGAAGCTGAGATTCTGCTTTAGGAGGTTAGAGAGGTGTCTGGGTGCTTGTGCGCTGCTTGGAGTGCTGGAAACTGCTCTGCTTCCAACGGTGGTACCAGCTGATGGTAGTTTAGCTGTCACAGTCCTCAGGAGCCTGCATGCTCCTGATTCCATCTCCTGTAAACCAGCATAAACTTACTGGGGTTTTTTAAGATCTGAATGCCAACCAGGTTATTCCTCTTAGCACAACTGCCTTGCTATCTGATGCTTGACTGACATGGTGTAGTGGAAACAGCCAGTCTGGAATATTCTCCAGTGCTGACAGTGAGACCATGTTAATTGTGGTATAGCTCCTTGTCTGGGTAGCCTCTTAGGGTAGGCTTCATCACACAGCTTCAGTAGAGATCTCTATCTCAGTAGGCATGTTGTAGGTTACACCTCATCCTGGGCGAAGAGAAGTGTCTGAAGTAGTTCGGGTGACTCTTCACCAAAAACCGCCTCTATGTCTTCATTGACCATGAGGGGTGCCCAAGTCAAGTGTAAACATCTCCCTTTTGTCAGGTGGATGTCACACTTAAAGTTTTGTCTTCTCTGAGAGATTAATTTGTCCTGTATTGAAGAAAGAAATTGTTTTTTTAAATGTACAGTTTATGGTCTCACAGTACATCCACTAAGGAATAGGTCTACGTTTTATTTGGAAAAAAAAAATCTTAACCTTGCAACATTATTTCTTGTACGTGTGAAACAGGTTCACGTCAAAAGCAATTCAAGTCAACTGCAGCTTGTGCCAGTCCTGTTGTGAAGAGATTAGAATTTCTTCCCAGCCCCGTCCCTTCAGAGGAAGCTGCTTCAAACGAGAAGGATGTGAAGAAACCTGAAATGGAGCAGCAGAAGGAAGCAGATCTCCCTGCTACACTGGAGGTACGTACAGGCAAGAAAGCGAGGGAATGGAAAACAAGATAAAAAAGAAGAAAGGTCTCACAAGGAAATCTTTATTGTGCAAATTGGTATTTTTCTCTATATAATGTCACATCAGGAGTTCATTCAGTGTCTGCTTGTACCGTTTGAACCTGTAAACTGGCTGGAGCAGAAACGAGAACTTAACCTGCAAACCCCAGCCCAAGGCGTGTTGGGAGGGCAGAGAACCCCGAAGGTGCAGGGGGTGGAGCTTACCCTCTTAGTCCTCTTGAAGTGCTGCACAAGTGCCGGTGGTGGCAGAGGTAACAAGTGGCCATGACCGTGCTGCTCTGGCAGGTTAAGCTGGATGTTGGTCCTGGGTTAGGATCGGCTTTGGTGTGCAGGGCAGTGTGTCAACAGCCAACAGCCACCCGTTATTTCCAGGAGACTTCAGTACTGCAACTCCATGTTGTAATTCTGGAGATGGAGGTGAACCTTTGGTAATGTTGATTCAGAAAATAAGTAGAAAGGGTCTAAGTTAACCTTTGATTGAACCTGCTGGTTTTTGAGTGCTGTTTTCTGCTCCCAAATGTCCGAACAGGTGATGAAACCAAAAAACCTGGAACAAGAGGGGAGTATAGTATTGCCATTTTTAAAGAAACTACCCGAGACCAGCCAAGTTACTCTGCAGAATTCTGGTCTACAAGGTGAGTAAAGAGCATTTGGAGAGCTCAGCCAGACAGTAACTGGATATGTGCTTGTAGTGTTTGGGGAGAAGTGCCTAATGAATGCCCCGGAGGGTTTTGGAACTAACGGTTCGGTTCCTTGCATCTGACTGATATTGGTAGTGTGGCTTTTGTGATGCAAAGGACTCTTCTGGCTGTTCCCCGGTTTTGGAGCTAACGGTTCGGTTGCATCTGACTGATATTGGTAGTGTGGCTTTTGTGATGCAAAGGACTCTTCTGGCTGTTCCCCTTCAACACAACAGCAGAATTGTGACACAGTGGAGGGGGGCAGGAAGAGCCCTGTCTTGCACTTACCTGGCCTAGCAATAAAAGCTGTCTTATGTCAGTGAGTATTATATTGTATTAGTACTGCTGCTTACAGATGAAAATGGCCTAGCAATTGGTTTTATCTCACGATAAAACCTTTAAATTCTGCACTCAGCTGCTCCTTTTCATAGATGAACAATACACATCTGGCCACATCCCTGAATTTGACCTTTGGCCATCACAAGTTCTTGCAAAGCAGAACTTCTGATGGTGGGGTTTTTTTTCTTTTTTGCTTTCATGACAAAATTTTGCTTGAGATGGATAATGTTTAGTAGTTTGATACTGATTTTTAGAGATGTTTATATGAATGTATTGGGAAAGAAAGAGAGAGAGAAAAAACATCTGAAGTTTTCTTCCCCCTGAGAACCTATTAGGTTTTTAGTTTATATATAGGCAATATACCGATTATCCAAGGGTTTTCAGGATTGAAACTACTGAAGGTGATCCGCTGTGGAAAAAACGGTTTTCTGAAAAGGAATAGCAGCGGAGATGTGCTTTGCAAACAGGTTTTGTGAACAATATTTCTTTTTGTGTTACGCATGAATCAATCCAAACAGCAAATAACAGATTGTAGGCATCTCTGCTATTTTCTAATAGTGCTGCTCTCTAGTGTTCACAGCACATAAAGCGCTAAAAGGATCACAAAATCCTTTAGAACCTCTATCTGCAATAGGAATGAACGCGAGCACGATGCAGTGCCTTGACGGGGCGGCTGCCCCTGGCTAGCAGTGTTCTAGAGCTCTCATACAAGGTTAGGTGCCGTATGATGAAAGGAACACTTAAATACGGGCAGTCGGTGTGATCTGCAGGCCCGTTGTACGCTAGCTGCGACGAGCCAGAGCGACTAGTCAAAATCCCTCTCATGGCCGAGGTGGCTCGGGGCTGAGAGTCCGTCACCGCCTTTTGACCGCGCTGTGTTTCTTGTTTTGTCTCCGTGCCGTTGCCTGCAGAGCCGCCCCGCGGGGCCGCGGTTCCGCTTAGGGTTCGCAACTACTGGCGGCGCTCACAGTTTTTCTCACAGTCAGGTAAATGCGGCGCTAAGACCGACTTCGGCCCTTCTGCTGCCTCCAGTCGTAGGTGTCTCCGGACGTGGGGCTGGGGCGAAAGCTGATGATCACGGGGACTTGTTCTACCTCTCGCTTCTGTAGAAAGTGTCTATTCCACGGCTGCACAGTTGACAAAGAGCTGTTGGGTTGCACGTTGTTTGAGATGCTCTGGTTTCAGGCACCCAAATGAAATCACTTGCCTATCAACACCTTTTCCTTAATTCCTTCAAATCAGCTTAATTTTCAAAGACATTTGGATAGAAAATGGCAATGGCTCTCTTCCTAACTGTGGCTCTTGAATAGTGTAGTCCCATCCTTTTAGCTTTGCTGTGCTTTTTCCCGTTGGGTTGCACGTTGTTTGAGATGCTCTGGTTTCAGGCACCCAAATGAAATCACTTGCCTATCAACACCTTTTCCTTAATTCCTTCAAATCAGCTTAATTTTCAAAGACATTTGGATAGAAAATGGCAATGGCTCTCTTCCTAACTGTGGCTCTTGAATAGTGTAGTCCCATCCTTTTAGCTTTGCTGTGCTTTTTCCCTCTTTCCACTAAATCACGAAGGGAAAAGTAGATCAAAGTAGATACCGCGCGGTGCCCAAACACTGCTAACGTCTGTGGCCAGAAGTAGATGGCCTTAGCTAGTGGTAGAGTAGAACCCGATGTTAGTTAATATTGTGGTCCTCCATACCCAGATAAAAAGTAGTTTTGTTGGTGATGGGTGTAATCTGTTTTTCTGGTTTATTTGCTTGTGATTCATCCTTGCATTTGGTTGTGGGAGCAAATACAGAACTAACAGGAAGCCTTTTTATGCAAATACAGTAGCTTTAATTGCAGGCTAAGCACATGTTGCTCTTCTGCTGTGTTAAATTTAATTTTTCCCTATTCTGTTTGTGTTTTGTTTTTAATAGCTGATTCTGATAGTGGTGACAAATCAAATGTGAGTACCTTTTTTGCATCATTGTTCGGTTTAGAGACACGTGTTTAGCAAAACTGATTGTAACGTTCCTAAATCAGAATAACATTTTCTCATGGAAATGAGAGAGAGAAAAAAATACAACCCACATCAAGACCTGGTCTAAATCTGGAATTCATGTGTTCTTCCCTTCTCCAGAGGGAATGCTAGCTAGACAGTACTGGGTTGCTGGAACCACTAAAGCTTCATGAACTCAAAATAACATGTAACTCCAAATTATCCATTCTGTTTTAAATGCATAGAAAATAGAGGAGACCACAATACTACCATCTCCCCAATGGAAAAAAAAAACACCACTACAAATGCAACACAGTATTTCATATGCTTTTTGTCACATAAAAATAGACATAATCTCACCCTGTCAGATTCTAATACGGCTCTTAGAGGAAAGGGGTATGGCAGCAACTGTCTAAAATTGCCCTTGACCATACAGATTTTAAAGATGTAAATGTATCGTGTAATGGGATCCTTAGTGAAGCCTGAGATTTTATTTCATTACGGATAAAAATTTAAAGCAGCACTATAGGCAGTTGTGCTGACAGCCATATGAAATGAGAGGATACTTTTTTACAATCACAAATTGCTTTGCGTGATGCACAGAAGATTATAGAGAAGCAAAATACAGGTTTTCTTTAAGCTTGAGGACTTGCAGGGTTGCCTGTTCAGTGCTGCATAGAGCTTTCTTTCAGATCTTTTTTCCTTTTTTCTCCAGTCGTCCCAAGCCTTCCTTTGCAAAGCAAATGATTATTTTATCATTTGGATACCTGTGGGCAGTCCCAAGTGTCAATGAAGCAAAGAATATTCTCTGCTAACCGAGAGAACCATTATATAGTTCTCAATTTCCCACTTTAAGATCACTGCCAGGGGTGGGCCAGATGAAGTGCAGCTTTTTCTGATAGTCTTGTACAGCACAGTGCAGTATCAAAGTCTAATAGCTTGGGTTTCCATCACGCAAGCGTTTCAATTTCTGGTCCTGGGATCCAGAAGAAGAGCGGAAGCGCCAGGAAAGGTGGCAGCATGAGCAAGAACGCTTGCTTCAGGTAAGGAAGAAACTATGTGTTTTCCACCATGTGGTTCAGCTGTTGAATTGTCCCCTTGAGACAAAAGCTGGGCATTTTGTGTCATGTTTTCCGTATCCTCTGTGGATGCTTGAGCGAATTCTGTGGCAGAGAGTGATAAAATGAGCATAAACACATGTTCTCTGCAGTTTGGGCACTCTTACATCTCCCTCACTCAGTGGAAAGACCAAAAGGACTTAATTCTATACTCCATTGTGGAATTAAACCTAATATTGATCCTCGGCTATATTTAAAGTGTGTTAAGTGTAGACTGCAAGACTCTTAATTACTCAGAGACCCTTAATTACTTGGAGGCTCTTTCTCCGGACTGACAATTTGCTGACCCTGACACCTATGCAACTCTTCTTTAAAATTATGGTTTTAATAGATTTGTGTAGACCTTTTGGACACGCAGGGTTTGGGGTTTTTTTTGTGAGGGAGTAAACCCCCTCAAAACAACCACTGGTTTTGCCTGGTGATAGAGTAAGCTATTAAAAGGTCTTGGTTTGTGTCCTAGCTGGGAGAAGTGCAGTGGCCCTGAGAACTTCAGTGTCCCCATAGATCAGTAGTGTCCTTTCAAACTGTGATTAGGTTTGATCCCAAAGAAATCATATCTTCCCCCCACCCCGTAACAGAAGAGCCAACAAATCTCAAAGGGTGGAGAATGAATAATAAAATGGAGTCTTTTGATCTTTTAAGAATGACTTGTGTGTCTCCCTACTGCTTTCTTCAGATTATTTCTTTTCGCTAATATGCTTGTTTCCTGTTAAAATGGGGTAAAGTTCTCATCATAGTTTTTTCTGGCACGTGAGGGTTTTCTCTCAATAGTGCATCACTTCTGGGTTAGGCAGATGGGGTTTCTAATTTAAACAGGATTTGGAATTGGTGTAAAAGGGATATGGAAGTCACCGTTCTTCTCCATATTCAACCCAGTTCTGACATACAAGTTTAAAGATCTTTTTGAGATAATTTTTCATGCAAAACTCTGTGAAAATAATTCTGAAGAAATAATTCCATCAAGTGGGAGAAAAAAACTAAGCTAATTATAAGCTTACCCTCTTAAAACTTTGCACCCAATTATCTTTACACACATTTGTCTTTTAAACTTGACCAGGTATTCATCATTCATTAAATTGTTCTGGCATCTCTCTTAAATTAGTACCAGTATCTGCAAAACCTGCTTGTTTGTATGCTACTTGGCTGAAGTTACCAATGTAAAATCCATTCCCAAGTGTTTTGGGATGTGTGATAGCTTTTTAGAACTCTAAGTACTGTATAATAAACAAGGAATTATTGAAATTGTTGAGCATAGATTTCATTTAGGACCAAAGATTTAAAAACTTCTAACAAATTAATCTTCTAGTATGTTAAAAGTTCCTCATGGTTTGAAGGTGTTACTTTTAACTGCTAGAAACAAGTTAGGGAGAAGAGAAAAAGAAGGCTTTTTTGACAACTGTGGATGTTTCAAACTTTCATCTTCCTATTTCATCGTATTTCTTATTAAACCACTCTTAGCAGTTCCTTTTCACTGTGGAGATACTACAGAACTGACTCCTAACACAGAATGCTCTGAATTTACCTCTATTTGTATCCTCTTACAGGAGAAGTATCAGAAGGAGCAGGACAAGCTGAAAGAGGAATGGGAAAAAGCCCAGAGAGAAGTTGAAGAGGAGGAGCGTAGATACTACGAGGAGGTATAAAGCTCAGAGGAGGAGGTTGTTTACTGACGACTTTTGTATTTAAATGCTTATGCAGCTGACAAACTCCCATACCTAGATTAATTAATGAAAAGCCTTCTCAAGGCTGAATTCTCAGGAAGATCATTTCTCTTAAACACTACTGTAGGCACTGAGGAAAAATACTTAAATATTTAGACAGGTATCCTCAGAAGTTCCACATAGGTGGAGGTGTCTAATTGCTGTGCAAGTTGGTGAGCCAGTATGGTTGTGTCTGGGCACGTTCAGACTTCCCTCTGGAGGCAGAGCCTTGTGCATTTTGGTGTATACTTGCTGGAACGCCAGAGGAAATTGTCTGCCTTGGGCTCGATCATGTAGATATTTTGTAAACTGGCCTTGTTTTTCAAAAAAATTCACGGGAAATGTTCGAAGTTTGCAGTTGTAGAATGCTGACAATATAGAAGGTAATGGGTTTCTTCTGTCATAATGTGCTTTATTGCAGGAAATTAGAAAATACGCATGTTTGACTAATTATGCAGATTGGTGTCTTATCATCTGTGCTTGAGGACCATACTTGTGATCTGAACAAGGAATATTTTTTTCCAACTTTCAGAATAAGTTTCTCATGTACCGTATTGTTATATGATATTTGGTAGACTGGTGTTGTGAGAAACCGTGGTGCCATCCCAAGTGGAATATTCTTTCCAGGTTGGGACGTCACATCTCAAAAGATAGTAATGGTGAAAGGAGAGGGATTACAAGACCTTGAAGCAAACTAAAAATCGAGGTGTTACCATTATTCTTGGTACCACAGGTCCTTACCTAGCCATCTAAATATGACATGTAGCCAAACTTGATACTTCTACTTTTTAAGTTGACATTCTGTATTTTTAACCCTCACTCTCTCCTGACACTCTTTTTTTAGGAACGTAAGATAATTGAGGATACTGTAGTTCCATTCATTGTTTCTTCAAACTCTGCTGAGCTCCTCTCCTCTTCTTCCTCTACCACTGAAGGAAACAAGACAGCAGTGAGTTTCTCATGGTGTAGTAAGGCAATAAAGACTAAGCCATCTCAAGTGCAAAGTTTCATGCTTCACTAAAGGCTAACAGTCTGGGAACAGTAAGAGTATTCCCTGGATCCCTTCCATAACTGGTGATACCTCAGAGTGCTATAGTTTGTATATTATTACAACTGAAGAGCCATACTCACAGGCAAACTGCTACCATCCCATTTTGGATTAGAGCAGAATGTGATACTTTCACTCTTTGCAGCTCCTTCTTTATAACTGGTGGCTTTGAGAAAGAAAAGAAAACCAGTCACCTCTTTCTGTTTGGTTTAACTACCTTCTCAAAGCCAACAAATCAGAAGTGATTTCCCTGCATCCAAAATCTTGTGTGTAAGACAGTGTTTTAAGCCTATCTGAGATGAAACTGAATCCCATCTCCCCACTTTTCCTCCTTTTCTCTCCCACCATCCATCCTAGAAGGCAGCAAACAAACAGGAATACTCACTCTCTGGTTTTGGTGGGTTTCTTTCTTACCTATGCAGCACAAAATGTTTAACTTGATGCCTCTAGCATCTAATTAAAGTAGTGTTTGCCAGAGATCAGAGAATGACACTCCAGGTGAGATCGGTAGAATGAATGTGGGATTCCCAGACATAATTATCTCCTGCCTTAAGGCAGTCACACCCAAGAATTCATCTGCCTTTTTTCCATTCAACTTCAGGATTAGGAGCACTGTACCATCTGTTTCTCCTCTTACCCTTCCTGCCCTGTCTTATCTACCATCCCTGTGCAGGGGCACCAGCCGTGGCTCATTTTCCAATGGGAAACTGTCTAGACTCTCAGAGTCATTCAAGGATTTCTGACAAAAATATGCAGTGGGAAGTTTTATTTCGTCATCCTGAACACTGTCTCGTAGTCAGTCAGTCCCGCACTGGTTTTTTCCCATTCTCAATTTAATACAATTCGTTGATTGTTTTAGCTGAAGTCTTTGTTAAATCCCAAAGTCACCCTTACCAAGGTCAAATGATTCCACTGTATAATGTGACACGTTCTTATTGATAATGAGATGTGTCAGCATGATATATCTGGGGCAGCCTGTGCTTTTCTCATGTGCGTGCTGAAGCCGAATTCAAGGGAAGCTACTCATACTCTCCCTTGCTTGTCTTCCAGAACACACCTGATTCAAACAGCTCTCCAGAGGAAGGCAAACATAAAGAAGTTACAAGGCAGAAAAAGCTGCTCTGGGAGCAGGACACTCTGCCGTCTCTGAAGAGCAAGGAAAATGAACTCTGGCAAGAAAAGAGGAGGTACGGATCAAGCCTAAGCATTTCTTAGCCTTGTGGAGCTTTGTGTTCTGTAGACTTCTGGGATGTCACATCTGCCCGTGATTGATGCTGGAGCATCAGCATCTGGTGGCCTGGTGATAGGTGTAATATATCCCAATCAATACTCTCTTGCCACGGGCTTACGCGTATACGGCAGTGTGCAGTGCTGGTTTTGCATAGCAGCAGGCTTGCCTCTTCAGCATATGGCTTTGCTGAAAACTTCTCACATCAACCAGGCCGGAGCTTAGGTAGTCAGACATCTCTCTGCGTCACCGTACTGCGTCTTCTGTACAAGTTTCACAAGCTGTTTGGAGGAACAAAGGAGCAGTAGCTGTTTTCACTCAGGATCTGTGTGAGATTCCCTGGCTATCAGAGAAGTGCTGTACCCAAACTTTCCAGCTGATATTCGAAGTCCTGCCCTTTGCCCAACTGCTGATAACAGTTTTCACAAAGATGAGAAGCATCTGATGAACACTGTATGGGGAACACGGAGAAAAGGGGTTTCTCTGGCAAAGAAGCCATTTTCCTTAAATCCAGGATGGTCTTTCATGCTTGTAAGTGGCAGTGTGTGAGGGAAGCAGGAAGACATGGCATGTTTGGAGACAAACTTGCTAATTCATGACAGTTATTCCCATTGCCTTGTCATTGCTGACACACAATAACAAAAATCTTGTTGCAAAAAATAGACTGATACTCAAAAGTCTGATTTTGATGTTATATTCTAGATGGAATTTTTCCCAGCTTTATATATACAATGTGACTTATTTCTATTGGCAGTGGAAATAAAGTGCTCTCAGGATGCCCGGAAACAGGTATCTTGAAAGGAGGTGACCAGGAGCACCAGATGCCAGTGACGGAGCGCAGCTCGCCTGCCAGACTGAATCTGCCATTGACTCAGGGTGAGAGTCAAGACCCTTCACATGCATGTATTCTTTCCCAGATAGGAATCTCACAGGTATTTACAATGGCTTGAAATCTAACTCAAAGAGTTTTGGAAATTAGCAGTGCACAAATATCTTCAGAATTCAGGTTAAAAAGTTATTTTCTGTTAGCAAAGATAAATATGTTAAGGTGAAATCTAAAATGATCTTGTTTTCATCAGAAATGAATGTTTCAGCTGGAGGTAGGAATCTCCTTTACAGGCCTGCATTAATTAAACAGTATTAATTAAACACAGTTATCTTCCATCTTTTACATTATCCTTCATAAATATAGGATTTGATACATAGAGCATGTTTTCAACACTGATTTCATGTTTTAATGGCTTTTTTTTAATAGATTCTTTATGACCACTTCAGTCCAGTAAGAGTCACTACCTGTGATGTGTAACCTTTTCAAGCCAAGTCTAAAGTGAGACCTGTCTCAATTTTGTCATTAGAATTGTCTGATGACATTTAAAATTAATAGATTTTTTTAAGGTCCTGTAAGTATTGAGGGTTTTTTTAAATGAATTAATTTCCCCAAAGCATTGCTGTCAACAGGATCACCCAAAAAAAGGCAAATTCACTAATTTAGCATCATTATCTAATGCAAATGAACAGTGGAAAGTAAATAAGTAGTACTAAAGACTGAAAACAAATGTAGATTTTGAAATCAAGTTTTAGATTTTTGTTTACAGTGTATCATAAAAAATGATGATTCTAAAAACTGAAATGTTTCTGGATAGAAAAAGTTTCAATGTTACTATTTGATCCACATGCAAATTCAATTTGTTAGACTTAGCAGGTTTGCTTTCCCTGTCACGATTTTATCGTGTTCTTAGTGCTTTGATAAAGGTTGCTTAAATAAAGAAGGCGAAAGATTTCACCCAGCAATCCGATTGTGGATTGGTAGTAGTGATTAAGAAAACTTCAATGGTGTTCTGGTTTTGGTTGGAACCGAGTTGGTTTTCTTCACAGTGGCTAGTATGAGGCTAAACCACAACCTCCTGTTGTGGTTTCATGGTTTTTATCCTCTGCTGCTAATCACCCTTTTTTCTAGGTTCTCTTCCTCAACCTGTTCCCCTATGAATATTCTGGTATCTCCTTTCTTGCCCCTTAAAGCATCACATCCTTGCTCTCTCCTTAAATCCTTAAACTAGCCAGGACTAGGGGTATTTTGTCTTGATACCAAAAAGAGAGAATGGGCCTTTCAAAGGCCCCAGTAAAGTTTTTCTGCTCTGAACCAGCTGGTTGGTGCATGGCAGGGTAAGGGTCTCCCCAGTCGGTGAGCCACAAAGTTTGTGTGGAAGGACGCAGGCGCTCTGTCTCGAAGATGGGATGGTTGGCTGCCTGGGCATCACACGGATCATTGCGTATTGCTGGGAGGCTGCTACTGTCACTGAGCCTTGTGCAACCATCTGAAACGCAGAAGGAAATTACAAGGGAAGAAATCTGTTCATCCCTAGGCTCATGGAGAGCGGTGACTACACCACCTTCCTCTTAACTCTGGCTGTTGAGAAGCCTGGATCCCCAGGCACCTCGGGAAGTTTCTGTCTCTCTGGTACTTCCTTCCTTAAGACAGAAATACTGTATTCCCAAGTGCGACTCGTGGACAGCTGTTTGACCTCTCCCTTACCCCTCCAGAAGCTGAAATTCAGCAGCAGGGCAGGTCATGTGTATGTGAAGGGAATGCAGGGGGTCGTTGTCCCACAGAGGTCTTCTGGTGCAGCAGAGCCCATCTCTGACTTTGGGGGAAGAGGATTCTGAGGACTTATTTTTAAGTAACAGTTCTTGTCATGTCTCCTTTATGGTGTGCCCACAAGCTATGTTGGTCTCTAAGTATGGACAAAGTCCTTTTATCACAAGTATTGAGCTTTCCCTGCCTCCCGTTGTAGACATCTCCTGGAGTCAGCAGTTGCTGACAAAGCAGTCCCCACATCGTGCAGAGGACATTCGGCAGAGACCGTTCCTGGGCCAGAGCGCGGGACAACAGCCGAGCTCCGCAGGAGAAACGAGGAGGTGAGAACATAAAAAATAAGGTTATTGCAGAGGTTGAGAAGTCCTGCTCCCTCTGTTCTCCCTTAAATTCCAACTCAGCATTCTTTATTGGTTAAGTTTCATGAGTAGCCTTGCAGTGTGCAGACACCTGTGATTCCTGGCTTTCCTACCAGGACTGCTAACGTTTGTCCACTTCGGTTCTCCTTACGGGTACCCCAGAAAGTAGTTTTACAAGGGAGGACAACTCCAGCTTGCCATTCTCTGTCGTCTTTCTCCTTATCTCCGTAAATCCTCATCTGCACAATTGTTCATGTGCTCGTTTGTTCTGAGTCCCCAAGCCAAGGATTTATAGCTAGTAAGTGGCTAAACATCAGGGTGGGAATGTCAGGTGAAGTCTGCCTCTTTGAAGTTGGTGTCTGAGAGCTTCATTCCCCAGCTTCTAAACACACACTGATTGCTACTTTCTAGTTCTTTAAGGATTATAGCTTTTAAACAAAGATACATAGACATCAGTATTTTCTTTCTGCTATAAATTTGGTAAGGTTTTTTTCTTCTCTGATGCTTTGCCTTGTGTTTTTGAGTGAGCATTACTAAAAATATCAGCATTTCTTTCAGTAAACAAGGTTTACTGAAATATGTTTACCTAATATTTGCAAAAAGTCTACCTCTGTAATGAGAAGGGAACATTGTTTTCGTTAACATAGATATGAACAGTCTCCTGTAAAATATGTGTTGCCTCTATGAAGCTTGTATCCAGTCAGAACTAATGTAGATTGAGGTTTGATTGCCTAATCCTCACAACAAACTGCTCGTGTGTGTTTGAGAAAATTGTTATTTAATCTACAAACAGCTTTACGCAGTGAGAGGTTGGATCAATCCTAAGATTGCCAATAACAAAAAAAACATGCATGGTTTTTCTCACCAAATTCTTTCAGGGTAGAAGGGATACAAATAGTAATAAGCCACATTTCCATGTTGGTAGCGTCCTTTTTATTCAAAGGACGCAGACCCTTCATCAGCAACCCCACATCTGCTCTACCAGCGTCCTTCTGAGCACATCCCCTGGCCAACAGAGTGTACAAGGCATCGTGCCTTGGCTTCATCGTGGTGTGAGCGACGCTGGGTTGATAGGTGGGTAGGGGTCTGCACATGGCCCATTACCTTGTGAGTTGTCTGAGCAGTACCAAGCAGATCAAGACACCCAGCCAAAAATGTGCCATTTTTCATTGTGTCAAAATGGCAGTTCATAGCAAATTTATACCTTGTTTTCTTAGATAGAATCTTTAGAATCCCTTCTGCTGGGACTCCTGAAATCCATCAGCTGGGATTTCTCTGTACAAAACCTTGGTTTTCACTTGTTCTTCAGTGGTAATAATGTATTTTCTCTCCCATATTTTAGGGCAGGCTATCATGAGAACTTCCGATCCGGGCCATCATCTCCCTGCTCTCCTGCTGCTCCAAGTCAGTCACCCAACAGGTACAAAAGGTCAATAAGGAATTTTGCAGACCAAATAACATCTTGCAGTTGCTGGTCAACTGCTGCAGCGTAAATCTCACGAGTATTATGTGGATGCAGTATTAATTCTTCTAAATACTGCAGTTAATAACCATCCACGTTATAAGCATGTCGCTCCCTCTCCCATATTTCTTGCCTACTTCAGCAGTATTGTTGTGTTTTAAAATAACACAGTTCAGAAAGCAGCTGTAGGACTCTGCTTGATCATTGAAATTATAATGAAACTGAAATGGGATAATATAAGCCCCAGTCAAAGTAAGCAGTAAAGCGTGAGCCCAGAGCACTTAGGCCAAAGGATGTTGTCTTCACTGTGAATAGTTACATGCTCAGGAGTAAGGTGGTATGTTCTAGGTGTTGTCACCGACTGACATTTCAACACACTGATTTAAAAAATAAATCCTTCCCTTAATTTCCAAACTTGAAAAGCATTTTGCTTTTTGGCTGTGGGTTTGGTTTTTGGGGTTTGGTTTTTTGTTTTTTGTTAATTTGCCTACATTCGTGCTAATCTCCTGGAAATCTGATTCGCTCAGACAATGAGCTGTGCAGCTTTCAATAAGATATGTGCACCAGCTCTAAATAAATGTTAACTGTAGCCTGATAGAATCACGGATAGTGTGGGCTGTATTAAAACCAGTTGGCTTATTAAATGGGCTGAAGGCATACAACACAGAAGCCTCAGAAGTTTTTGTTCTATTTAAATAACATTTTTCTTCATGTCTGATAGCAAAGCCCTCCTTCTGATGCTATTTGCATTGCCATGAAACTATTGGGAATTTTTTGTGGGAACAGTTTCTTCTGGTTTTACTAATTGTAGCTGCAGTTTTGGTGGGATTGCAGAGCATTTCTGGCTACATGTCGCTAGTCTTGATAACTACTTCATATTATTTAGTAGTATCCTGATCTGAGACACTTTTCCAAGATTGTTTCCTGAAATAAATGAGTTTGGGAAGTAATGGTTGGGATGTAATTCATTGTTCCACTGAAACATTAGAAAGCTCTTTATAAAAAAAATCCCAAAGCACTTTATTCTTTGATTCAAGTGTGTGAATCAAATATAGCAGAATACTGCTGTGCATTCAAGTATTTTAAGTCATAGAATCATAGAATCATTTAGGGTGGAAAAGACCTTTAAGATCATTGAGTCCAACCATTACCCTAACACTGCCAAGTCCACCACTAAGCCGTGTCCCTAAGTGCCACATGTACACGCCTTTTAAATACCTCTAGGGATGGTGACTCCACCACCTTCCTGGGCAACCTGTTCCAATGCCTGACAACCCTTTTGGGGAAGAGATTTTTCCTAATATCCTACCTAAACATCCCCTGGTGCAACTTGTGGCTGATTCCTCTCCTCCTATCACTTGTCACTTGAGAGAAGAGGCCAACACTCACCTCTCTGCAACCTCCTCTCAGGCAGTTGTAGAGAGCAATAAGGTCTCCCCTGAGCCTCCTCTTCTCCAGGCTGAACACACCCAGCTCCCTCAGCCGCTCCTCACAGGCCTTGTGCTCCAGACTCTTCCCCAGCTCCATTGCCCTTCTCTGGACACACTCCAGCACCTCAATGTCTGTCTTGTG